TCGAGGGCAACAGGTTTTTGTGTGTGTGTGTGGGATGCCCTGGTGGCACAGTGGTGAAGCGCTTGGCTGCTAACTGAGAACTCGGCAGTTCGAACCCACCAGCTGCTCTGCAGAAGTAAGATGTGGCAGTCTGCTTCTGTAAAGATTTACACCTTGAAAACCCTATGGGGCTGTTCTAATCTGTCCCACAGGGTCACTATGAGTCGGAATCAACTTGACGGCAAGCGGTTATATTTATTATAGGTCCATGTTGTTTTCTTTAATTAAATTTTTTTAAATATATTTAAGAGATTAAAAAATATACTTCAATTATAAATTATAAAAAATCTTACTTGGTGATGAATTTGCCTTACCTGTAATAGGATCTCCTAGATTTAGCATTCTTCACAATCACTATTTTAATCAAAATGCCATTTTTTACCAACATTAAACCAAACACTATTTTTAAAGATAGCCTGCCTTTAACATTAAATAAAGAATGGCATCACAAACTAGTTGTTAGAAACACTGAATTTCAATTATAAATTGTTTTGGCTTTCCTACATTTTGTTCGTGATTTGACATCTGAAAGAATACAGGCCAAAGAAGTCAAATATTTGAGTGTTTATTACGTTCAGGATTCATACTGTCACTCATGTATTCTGTTCTCCAGTGAGAGGAATAACATGGCTCAGATATAGTAATGAATGATAAAAATGTATCTTTTTATGTGAGTAATACAGTTTTGGAAGACACTACTGTTTTATATGTAACTGTTTAAGTCAGGTGATTGCCTGCTGGGTAATAGAATGTAATGCATTATGTTGTCTCTGAACTCCTAAATGAAATTATGAAAACCAAAGTGTATGCTTTTAATTAAAGAAATTAACAACGGTAGTTTGTGATTCAGAATCCTTATGATATTAGTAGCAGTAGTAATGGTAGTTCTGGTGGCACAATGGTTAAGTGCTCAGCTACTAACACGGGTTGGTGGTTTGAACGCACCCAGAGGCTCTGTGGGAGAAAGACCTGGTGATCTGCTCCCGTAAAGATTACAGCCTAGAAAACCCTATAGGGAAGTTCTGCTCTGTCATAGGGGGTTGCTGTGAGTCAAAATAGATTCGAGGGCACCTAACAACAACAGTAATAGTACTAGTAGGAGGAAGACTGTAGTTTCATTATACAATTTCCAAATCTCAGAATAAGATAGACTATCAGTTGGTCTCATCCTTATGGTTTTAATCCTGCACTAGGCATTAAAGTGCCCTGTTTTCTATCCTTTGGAGAGTCCAACCATTTCTTAATGGAGAGCCAAACAAGCAAGCAAATAAGACTCCTGTTACAGATAGGGGATTACAGCGTATTACAGGTCCCTTGTGTTTGACCCTTCTAGTCTTGTGAGTAGTGTCATATCTGAGATTCTTAGAGGCCCCTCTGCCTCACATACAGTAAGAAAACACTCTGAGAATCATAGCTTAATTGGCAATAGGCAGCATTAGACCCAGGAGGGATATACAGTAGTTTAAAGAAGAGTCTTAAGTAGCTATCTCTCCTTCATCAAACATACCACATAAAGAAAAAATATTTTATTCTCTGCCTTTAAGTATTCAATCTCAGAAAAAAATAAGCATCGATTCTACTTCTACAAATATTTAAGAATCATCAAAATTGAGGAAGTAGGCAGTGCATAGATAGTACTAACTTTTCAGATTGACCTGGTTTTATAGAACATAATGTTAATTGTAAGAAGCATAGTGGTAATTAAGTGTCTCAGAGACCTTAACCTATAATGAATAGAAAATATATGCAAAAGTAGTTAGATTATAAAAGTGGACAGGGAATAATAAAATGAAATCTTAATTGAAAAAATGCAAAGTAAACATTCAAGAAAAAAAGAAAGCAAGGCCATTATAAAAGTAAACTTTTAGACAATGATTATTTTTTCTTTAGTTTTCTGACATTTAATAAGATTTTATTTCACAAGTATAAATACATTATAGAAAATTAGAAAATATACAGTAACAAAAATATAATAACAAGAGCACAACTACTATTTAGTGTCTTGTATATTATTGCATATCTTTTTATACTTGTATATATAGACATCTGTGAATTTTTTACATAGTGAGATCCTACTGTGTTGTAAACTAATCTTTTTAGTTAATGGTCTACATCTTTTTATGGCAGTGAACTCTCTTCTCATCTATTGCCCAGTTCATATTCTGACTCCTCAGAGTGCGCCCAACACGTGTCTGTAGCTGGTTTGTCCAGACTAGGATCCAATCCAGGGTTGCCCATTGCATCTGGTTGTTATGTCTATTAAGTCTTCTTAATCTGTATCCGTACCTTTTTGGGACATTCACTTATTAAAATGAATATGCAGCTTGTCTTTCAGAATGTTCCCCCTTCTCAGTTTGACTGATTTCATATTTTGTGGTCAATGACTTATTTTTTAAGAGTAGATCCTGGTGGCATATGAAGAATTCGGTCTCTTAAAGTAACCAATAAAACATGTATGTATGGTTTTTAGGTACAGAAACTAGTTATTTCTTCGGGTTGTTTGTACTTCTACCATTCTAGCAAAGCATCAAGAGAAAAAAAAAGCAAAGAAATCATCCAGAGGAACTACTGTGGGAAAACACTGAAAGTAAATGCTGACTAGAAGGATATAAAAATTACTTTCTATTGAGTTTTTGATTGGTTCATTTTCCTTACCACAACCAATCTTAGTAGTAATGACATAATCACTGTTCTGCATTGGAATTAGATGAAACTATTAGAGATACAGGGGTCTTGTTTTCTATTGAAAGAGTTTTCTTTTTAGATGAGTAACAAACAAGACAGAACATTTTCTTTTCATTTACAGTGATATGGACATGTATTTTCATAAATACATACCACTTAGTTTTGGAAAATAAATAAGCAGAGAAAGTTTAGACTTTGGCCAACATCTACAGTTAACAAAATGTTAGACACTATTGTCAATCATAAATTCTTTCCATAAATAAAAACCTACACTGAGAAAAAAAAAATACAACCCTGTTTATAGTAGTGGCTTTTCAGGGATATTGTAGGTACTTGAGCTGAAAATTATGCCTTGGGGTTGAAAACCTAAAATATTTTCTGCAATATGTATTTAAGTGGCATGCTCAAAAATATGATCTTACACACAAAAACGCATCACAGAGATGAGTTTGTGTCCATACTATAGTTTAATTTTCTTAGCATAGATTTTTATATCTTTCAAAAATCCCATTTAGGAAAATTTTGTTGAATTATAGCAACATTTCAGTACACTATGCTACTTTGAGCTGTCAGGAAGCAACCTTTAGGATGAACAGTTTTTTAGGGTTTTCTGCAATTTTATGTAAGAGTATAGCAGTCATTATCTTTAAAAGACTTGACTTCATTTATACAAGAAGTTTACAGAGCTTTTTTTTTAAAAAAAGTTTTTTCAATTTTTAACATGTTATTTAGAATCATCAGCCACTATCATTATTTCTCAGGTATTTTTGAGCAAAAGTTTATTTTGCAAGAGCAAGTTTGTTTGTTTTTTTCCTGAGAGAATGTAGCTATGTAGTTAGAGTAGCTTCTTCTATAAATAGGAATATAAGATGCAAAATGCTTTATGGAAAGCATGAGAGTGCAGGGAATTCTTTTTTAGTTTTGATATCTATCATGGCTTCATGATCAAATATTTATTAGCTAACGCGTAAGTGTTTTGCCCTGAGCTATTTTCTTGACGTGTGAAATTAATATATAACAGGAGTCTGACCACAGGAAGCTCATAGCACTATGCTACTCCAGAACGAGAAGTTAAAACCATAACTATTACTGTTCAAGCAGAGTAAAAATTTATCTTAGAAAACAATAAGAAGTGGTTAGTTTCAAAATTAACTCTTAGCTAAAAAATATGTTAGAGAAACGTTTTAAGAATTAAAAATCTCCAGTCTTTTAATCACTTCCTTTATGGTGTCATTTACACTTTTTTATGTAATAATGAGAGGAGCGGTTTTGTGGGTACATGATGTTTAGGCGTACTTTCCGTTTTGATTCTTATTGCTGTCTTCATCATTCTGAAAATATGTCTGGACTTAATTCTTAAGTTTCTCCTGTCCTTTCTTAGTTTGCCCTTAGTTGCCCTTCTCAGTTTCATATAGCAATTTTGGCAATAATAACTCTTTTTGGCACCCTAATACTCTAGGGTTGTAGGGTTTATGTCTCTAGACCACTCATTTTTGCTTCAGAGCAGTGGTCTCAGCCAGGGTCAGTTTTGGCAGACATTTGGCAATGTTTGCAGACATTGTCACGTCTGGGGGCGGGGAGGGGGGTGCTACTGGCATCCATTGGGTAGAGGCCTGGGGTGCTGCTAAACACCCTGCAACACACAGGACAAACAAACAAACAAAAAACCAAAACATTGCCTTTGAGTTGATTCCAACTGATAGTGACTGCCCCATAAGTTTTCCAAGGAGCACCTGGTGGATTCGAACTGCCAATCTTTTGGTTAACAGCCATATAGCTCTTAACTCCTGTACCACTAGGGCTCTATGCACAGGCCAGTTCCTCACAGAAGTATTTAAGAAGTATTTAGCCCAAAATGTCACCAGTGCCACTGTTGAGAAAGTCTGCTTAAGAAAAAATGCTGAAAAGAATACTGTATACCACAACAATATTATTGAAATGTGCTTTTAAAATTTGTTTTGATAAATTAAAACTGAAATTAAAGCAATTAAAATGCTCCCATATCAACATTTTGACATATATTCTTCATTCGGTTACCAGATTTTACATCAGACTGCATGGTGTGGCTCCTCATCCTCAAAGTTTAGTTTTATGTGCATGGTTTATTTATTTTTTAAAAGTGTTTACCGGGAAAAAAGTTTTGTCACAGACTTAATGCATTTTTATTTGCATTTCTTCTAACTGATTAGATTTGTGATATGTGGATAATGTGGAGCACAACTGCCCTTTGCTCTGTCTTCTCTCCCTTCATACATTTTTCTCGTTCTGGTTGGCAGAACTCCCCTGATTGCAGCTGGAGTCATTGGTGGGCTCTTCATCCTGGTCATCGTGGGTCTGACATTTGCAGTTTATGTTAGAAGGAAAAGCATCAAAAAGAAAAGAGCCTTGAGAAGATTCTTAGAAACAGAGGTGAGGTGTCTTTCTTTTCATCATGTAGTTAAGGACTTTTATTAAGTTTATAAAATCAAGATAAGATTCAGTTTTTTAATTTAAGTGAAAATTCTGTTCAATCTCCTGCTGAGAGTTTCTATTTTATATTAAATTAGGTTGACTAAAAATCGGGGTAGATAGTAAAAATAGAGCAGGTTCATGACTTCAAGAGGGTAGATGGCAGGGGTCAAAGAATTTATCCTACTGGGGAAAAGATAGATCTTGTTTTTCTTTTAGGGGAAGAATTCCCATTTGGCAAGCTCTGCGTAGAGGATACTTCAGTAGTGGTGGAAGTAGAAAATATTAGAAAGAGTTTGAATTTTTCTGGTTCAAATAAAGCCAGATAGAAGCACTATATGCTTTAATTAGGGTCATTAAATTGAAAGCCAGTGATCTGATTACAGTGTAGACCAGCAGTGAAAGACTGAGCTTACAGGATAAAGCTTAGTGTTGTAATCACACAGACCTTACAACACAATTTATGAGATATATTTAATATTATGCATGATAGTTATTGTAAATATGATAATTACCCATAAATTGTTATAATTTCTTTTATATTACCAAACTGAATTCTCTAGCATGCAAACTGATAGTTTTCACTGATGCATTGTACATGTGATAGGGGAAAAATAATTAAAAAGACTGCATTTCCAGATTCTTCTCAACACCATCCCACCACTTCCTATTGATATATACACACGTGCCTGCCGGAAGGATTCAGAACAATTCTGTTCTAAGACTCAGACTTCCACTGGATTTGTTTTCCCTGTCATTGTCGGTGTGACAGTCTGATTTTCCCTTTAAAACTTACAGGAATGGGAATATCCATTCACTTATAGCTACACATAGGAAAATACTTTCTAAGGATTGGAATTATCTGAAATTGGAATTGGCTGTCTCATCAATAGACATGTTCAAACAGACAATTTAGTCAACTACATGTATGGAAAAATACAGTAGTAATTTGTACATGAGCTGGATGTTTACAGAAGATCAGCTTGATCACTTTCAACCTTGCACATGTAAATAAAAGTTTGGACACAGCACAGGATTGGCTTTGCATATTTTTAGTTTGGCTAGGATGCTGGAGGCAGATAGAATTCTCCGTCGTGGAGAAAGCTCAGGGCAGTTGCTGAGAGAATTCTGAAAAGGAAGAAGAGTTGGAGAACAATCAAAGGCTTGGGACATCAGTGGACACTTAGGTAGATGAATAAAGAGAAGAGAAATTCTATTTACTATGTGTAGGAAAAACTCATTGCTATGAAAAGACTTTTTTTTGTATTTTTAATGTGATGCTTTCTAAGAATGTTGTCCTTCAAAATGGCATTTTATTACTAATCATATTCCGATTGGCTTTGCAAGTAGATTGTATGTTTTTATATAAAGTTATTTCTTGGCACTAAATTATTTTACATTTGGAGGTTGAATAATTGTAGAATCCACATCTTTCTCTTAATAAAGTAAATAACTTATTTTCTACCACCATCTAAATAAAAAAGAATTCTTAAGAGTGTCAGTTTAAATCCTTAAATACTGAAGCTGGAAACTTCTCAGACGTGAAAAAAAGTTTAACATCAGGATGTACTGTTGACATGCACTTAAAGTTGATACTTTTCTCAAAATATTTCTTGTTCCACTAGTCCTTCCTCTTGTTACATGCATAAAAGTAGAAAATATATTTTTTTCAATATATACTTACTGAGATGCACTGTAGGTCAATGCTTTGTTTAATTGCTATGATTAAAAAATTTATTAATGAAACATGATCCTATCCCTTGAAGAATGACAGATTCCGTACATACAATGTGCCAGACAGTGCTCCAGGGTTTTCCGATTACATTATCTCATTTCATCTTTTAACAACACTCTAAGCTAATTATTGCTGTACCTATTGCACAGATGGGAATGATGAGGGGATGGTAAATTGCTTTCTAAGCCTGTGTGTGGCAGCACTGGTATACAGACCTCCAAATTTAAACTCAGTCTTCTTTCCATCATACCACTGCTGGTTCTCTAATTAAAACTATTCTTACTTTCAATATATAATACTCAAATTCCTGGAAAAATATGTTAATAAAAATTGGTTTTAATGAACATCTAAGAAAATTGCAAAAGACTAAATATCTCAGCGAGAACCATGAAGCTTTCCAAATGTGAAGTTATTACATGGTATATGCCAAGGCATAATAAATAAAATAATATGTATATTAAATATATATAGCCCAAAGTGTTAGATTAATCTCAATTTTTTTTTTTACCTGTCGTTTCTTTTCTTTTTTGTTGTGAAAATATACACAACAAAATATTCCCCAGCATAGATTTACAATTCACTGACGTTGATTATATTTTTCACATTGTACCACTATTATCATTATTCTTTTCCAATTCATATGATTTTATATGATTAAAAAATGATCTGTAAAAATTACTCATTATGCAGATGATGTACAACTCTCGTATTGTAGGGTTGTCTTCAAATGAAGGGGACTCTCTACTGGAGATTCTTTTCCAGATTTAGTAAAGAGTTTTATGATACAGAGATTTTTTTTAAGTGATTTGAATGCAGTTATATGCTATAAAATGTATTTACAATATAAATTTAAAAATGAAATAGAAAAGGAATGGTTGGTAAATGATTAGAAAATAGCCTAAGTTTATTGACAACTTTTATCATATTCTTTCTAACTTTATTGCTGTTGCTGCACTTACCTATACCCAAGACTGTTTCCCTAATTAAATAGTTCATGAAGTTCAGAGAAGCATGATAATAATACTCAAGCTGGAGGGCCATAATGCACTTAAGCTACTAAATAGACATTTTGAAATAGTGTGGTGTTTCAAGACAATTTGAGTAGGAGTACCCCGTAATTATTTCCTTAGGCTGAGAAAGAACAGGCCATTTGTGTGTCTTTTAAGTTTAGTTCCTTTATTTAACTTTTAAAAATATGTGCTATTTCAGTCACTGGCCTTTTGCTTAAGCATAGATAAGACCTAAAACTTTAACACAGGATAGAGCCTTTCTTGTATCCGGAGTCTTGGTCATGTACACATTTTTTTTCTCACATTTGCAAATGATTGCCACGCATTCATATAGGGTTCCCCTGCTCATTCATCATCTTTGGCTGAATCACATCTAAACCATCACATCTAAAGCCATCAGCCTAGTTTTACTCCTTTCGGCCACACCCAGCACACCTCATAACCTGGTGTTTCCCACCCTAATCTTACCCTTCATACATATCCTACTCCCAGCTGTATCCCTCTCTATGTCCTTCTTCACCCTGATAGTGGGTCCATACTGTTCTGCACAGTAGCATTGCCTTTCCCCATGTCAATCCGTGTTCATTACTTCAAGGCTGATCTTAAAGTGTTCCTTCTTCAGGAAGCCAAAACTAGTGAGCTTCACTTCCCAATGGTTACTTTATTCCTTTGTGTTCCATAGCATTTACTTATGATCTAGAATCAAAGCATAGAATTTTAGATTTTATGAGCTAGAAGGTACTCTATGTGCTTGCTACTTGAACTGTGATCAAGGACTACGGTCATATATAGGCATCACCTGGAGGTTGTAAAATTGCAGAATTTCAGTCCTATCCTGGGCCTAATGAACCAGCATCTGCATTTTAATAAGAACCCCAAGTAATTCATAATGCATACTAAAATTTGGGAATCACTGTCCTAGGTTTGGCATTGTGCTAGTTTTACATATTTTTTTTTAAATTTTGATGTGTTTATCCTGGCTTTCCAGCTAAATTTTTAAGTGCTAAGAAGGCAGCATTTCATTTTTATTTTTGTATAGGCATCAAAGCCCCTAATCTTGTAAATCTCAAGGTAGTCATACTAGAGGAGGAAAAAAAGGTCTGAAGGAATGCCTAAATGTATGTCTATGGACGGTGAGTGATCCATATTACAAAAATATTGTTTGTCAAGGAAAAATGTATTTGTATGTTTTTGCATGTGTGAGAAAGAGAACCAGAGAGAGAGGACTGAGTGTTGGATTAAAATTGTATAACCTGGATTCTTGTTGCTTTGCAGTTGGTAGAACCCTTAACTCCCAGTGGCACAGCACCCAATCAAGCTCAACTTCGTATTTTGAAAGAAACTGAGCTCAAGAGAGTAAAAGTACTTGGCTCTGGTGCTTTTGGAACTGTTTATAAAGTAAGTAAGAAATAATATATATCATCAGTTATTTCAAGTTTTTCTTCAAACATTTTTTATAGTAGCCAGAGGTATTACTGTAGCTAACCTAATTTCTTTTTCTAATATTCAGAGAGGAAAACCTCTGTAGTATTGAGAAGTTGCTACACATATTAATTTATTAATTTTTATTGAGCAAGCTAGAACAGTCTCAGGAGAGACCAGTAAATGCTCATACAAAGCAAAAATAAAATTCTTTCTCTGGATGCCTTTCTGAACCCCTTTCAATATCATTTTCTCTTTGGAAAATCTCTACCCTTATCCAGTATAACGAGAGTCAGCCTATTTCCCTTCCCCACTACACAGTTGTCCATGAAATCCCAGACACGCGAGGACAGTGTGCCATAATCCCTGGCTCTTCTTTCCTCTGTCCTTTATCCAAAAGCCTCCCCCATTAGGATCTTGATCTTTTAAGAATCCGCACAAATGTGCTGGCATGTTAATAGGCTAGGTCTAGTTCTTAAACTAGTCCCTGGGTAGTGCAAGCATTAACACACTAGGCTGTGAACCAAAAGGTTGGCAGCTGAGTACAGCAACAGGCGCCTCAGAAGAAAGGCCTGATGATCTGCTTCTGAAAAATCAGCTGTTAAAAATCCTATAAAGCACATCTCTACTCTTACAGACATGAGGTCGCCCTGAGTCGGAGTTGACTCAAGGGCAACTGAGTTCTTAAACCACTTTTTTTCCTAGCTGATTACACATTTAATTTAATAGGCAATTTTCATAGGTATGATGTCTTCAGCATTATGTGCAAACTAAAGAAGTGATTTTATGTGCAAAATTCAGGTCAGGTAGGAGGAGAAGATGACATCATGGGTTTTTAATAAGAGAAATATTTCTGGAAGGGGAGAGCTCACATGATAGCATTTGTATGTTTACTTATTTAGCTTGATTGTAAGACCATTCCAGAGGTCAGGCCCAAGGTTAATAGCGGTGAGATTTATTTTAATGGTAAATAACAAGAATAAGGAACTCTACTGGGTTAGTGCTGAATCCTTCTTGTAGAATCCATTACTATAAGTCCCATAATTTACTTTGGCGGTTTTATATATTTCTCAAAACTGTATGCAAGCCTGTGTTTTTACAAACAATGTATCTGTTTAAATAGAGTAGGTCTTAGAAATTTTATATTTTAAAATGTTCATTTCTTTTTTCTATTTAAAGCAATGATTTACCTAATAGAAAATATTAAAAATTAGAATAGAAACCTAATTTTTTTCTGTCCCTAGTGTGTCCAAAATAATCTCTTAAAAACAAACAAACAAACAAAAAAACAGTTCTGAGTTCAAAATGCCGGGGTGGCCAGGGCTTCATAATCTTTTAGGCATAGTTTGTTCAATTAAATTCAGAATTATTAGCCGAGCACCTAATTTGCACAGGCACTGTTCTCGGCTTGCTTGATACCTTTTCTAGTCTTCAGACTCTTTGTATGTTCAAACTTTTATCCTGTCTGTTTCCTTACTTATATAATGCAACAAAAAATAGACTCAGACTGTATCATTATGTGTACTTAAACTTTAATCTATTTAACTGTATTAATTTTATTCACATAGTTAACAATTTTAATCTTTATACGTTTCTATAATAAAATGGCATCAGGTACATTCTTTGGATTAATATGTATAGGGTCTTAAATTTGAAACTTAATAAATTAAAAAATTGACAATTGCTTCTATTCTCCATGTCCCGATCTATAACTGGAGGGTTCTGTGCTGACCCATGGGGCAAGTCAATAGAAAACTGGATATGAGCGCCTGCTGCCCTTCAGTTTCTGGTCGGTTATCAGTTGTGTCACATTGAAACATTTAATGCAAGTGAGCAGATTTGCATGTCTCTGCAGAAGAGAGAGAGAGATAAACGGCCAAATTTAAATGTATTATAACAAAGTTTCATTTTTAAGATAACAGAATCTTGGATTGTTCCTCGAGTATAATCACCTTATATTTTTTAAGATGATATGATCTGGAAATTGAATTTTATTCTAAATCATAAAAAAGCCTATAACTCAGGAATGAATGCTATTTAATGATCTCAGTAAAGAACAATATTACCCATTAAGAGATTTAATAATAAAGCTTTATTAATACTTTTATTAAGAGCAATTATTTGCTTGGTGTCCATGACTGTTTTACCTCCATTGAAATTATTTGTAAGTAAAAGTTTATTGGAAGTTCCGTAAGTGTGTTTGAATTTTATTCTTAGGTGAGGTGTGGTTGCTTATAGCTTTAATCACTGTATCAGTTGTTACAAGGACATACTGTCTTACTTTATAAAGGATTATCCCTGACCACAGAAATGCAAATTGATTTAGCCAATTATTGGGTTACTTTTTCCTCCTGGTTGGAGATACGCTGTGTTTAAGCCTGAAAAACTTTAGCCAATATCATGGGTATCAGCATAGTTGATTTTTTATCTGGTCAGGCCCAGTAACTAATGAATATACTTATTTAAAAAGTAGTACATATTAATTCAAACTCAATTCATATTCCTATTTTAAAACTACACTTTAGGAATATTTTAATATTGATGCTGTATCTTCATAAAGTAACCCCTTCTGAGGTTACTTCATTGAATAATGGTAAGCCTGTCTTCTACCCTAGATACTACCAATGAGAAAATGCAGCCTATAGGTTTTGGGATTTTTTTTCCCCTTTCTACTTTAACTTTTTTTTTTTTTTAATTTACACCACAGGGAACTTGATATATTATTTTGTTTTTGACACAGATTCCCCTATTCCCTCTTCTTGGAAGAGCTCAACTCTTAAATTCACCTTCCAAGGGTTAAAGTCTTTTTTAAATTTTATTATTATTACTTTTTAATACTATCTATATTTAGATATCCTTAGGATAACACAACACATATAGTTTAGCATTTATCTTTAAAGAACTTAGAAGAACTATTTCTTCTTTATAATTGCAATTATCTGATATAAGCAAAACGGGAAATAGAGTCTATTTAGGAATAACAGGCTATTTTTTTTTCTTCCTTTTATTTTAATGTTACAACTGACATAATCAGTGTTTTTTTTTTTTTTAGTCTTTTTTGATGTCACAGATAGTATATTAAAATTTGAGTTTTCTTTTTTTGTCATAACCACACATTTGCATTTGTGACCATTTGGGACAATATGCTTTTTAAAAAATATTCTTGTATAATCCATGCATTCTTGAGAGTCTTATCAAAATTATTGCTCTTGTTCAAATATTTGAATTCAAGTTCTGAAGAAATGTTATTATTTGGCTTAATGTTGCACTTCACTTAAACTCTACCAACTTTATACTCCCCAATGCATGGATCCTGTTCAGATGTTATAAATACATGTATGATATGAAGAGAGAATTAGCAATGACCAATATAAATAAATATTTAAAAATTACTTCAGAGATAATAAAAATTCTTGATACACACACATATACTAGTTAATAATATAAATTAAAAATGTGCTGAATGCCCTCTATTACTTGCCTTTGAAAACTAATTCTTAAATAATCATCTTTGAAATTTAATTTTAAATGAATTGAACTTGAAGAACGTGAGAATTTTTAAAAAAATTTTTTACTTGCAGAATAATTAGTTAATATTATTAACTGAAATTATTAGCTGAAAATAACTTCTCATATTACTTATACCAATCTTCTAATTTACCAATGAGACAACTGAAGCTCAAAAGAAGAGTCTTCCCAAAGTCTTGAAATTAGTTGATCATATCATCCAAATCAGATGTTAACTTACGCTATCCTATTCCAATACTTTCTTCACTATCCAAAGCCTTTTCATGCATACAAGTTGAAATCTACAGAAGTGTAAACAGCTTGAAAGTAAAATACATACATTATTCATCTTCAAATTATCAAAGCAGACAACAAAGTTGCCAAGTAACTTGTACTATACAATAGGTGTTTAATAAATTTTTTTGGAATGAATAAAAGAATATAGAACTTCTCCATTATTTTTTAAGAAGATAATAGGTTGAGTAGCTAAATCAAATTTCATTTCTGGTATAAATGTCGTATGTCTTAGTATAGATTTAATAAGAAATATGTTTTATTTTTCCAAAGGGCATTTGGGTACCTGAAGGAGAAACAGTGAAGATTCCTGTGGCTATTAAGATTCTCAATGAGACAACAGGTCCTAAAGCCAATGTGGAGTTCATGGATGTAAGTACAGATACCCAGGCATTTTTATCCATTGTTAGACAGATGACATTGAGAAAAAAACAATGACTCTACAATTTAGAAATAATCTTATAATTAAAGAAATTTCTAAGACCATTTTACATTATACTATACTTTTGGAATCACCCCTGGTTCACAACTATCCTCTAGATAGGATGTTAGAACAAGCTTTTGGAATTTGGAGAGATTTACAACGCCCAAGGTGAATTGTCTTCTATGTCAGAACTGTCATTTATTGTTTTCATATTTGATTTTTAAATATAGCCAAATATCTTTCAAGTAAAAGCAATACACAATTTGAACTGAAAATCTATTTAATAACCATAAATAACCAATTTTATTTAGATAGGTAGATAGCTGCCATCGAGTTGACTCCGACTCATGTTGACCTTATATACAACAGAACTAAACATTGCCCACTCCTGTGTCATCCTCATGATTGCCAGCATGTTTGAGTCCATTATTGTGACTATTGTGCCAATCCATCTCACCAAGGCCCTCCTGCTCCCTCATTGGCCCTCTACTTCACCAAACATGATGTCCTCCTGTAGAGATTGATCCCTTCTAACAACACATCCAAAGCAAGTGAGTCAGGAAAAGTGCTGTTGTGATCCAGAAAGTTTTCATTGGATAATTTTTAGAAGTAGATAGCCAGACCTTTCTTCCTAGTCTGTATTAGTCTGGAAGCTCCATTGGAACCTGTCCGCCATGGATGACCCTGCTGGTATTCGAAATACTGGTGGCATAGCTTCCAACACCACAGCAGTACACAAACCACCACAGTATATCAAACTGACAAACAGGTTGTGAACTTGTATTTAATAACCAGATGTAATGAGTATATTTCTTAAAATTAGTTACATTGAATGGTATTAGAAAAATCGTCTGGTGATGATAATAACAGTCACTAATACTTGAAAAGCACTGTTCTAAATGATTTACAAGTAAGAACTCATTTAATTTTCAGAACACAATGGCTCAGGAACCTGAGGTGTAGAGGTTAACCCAAGGTCACAAAGTAAGGTAATGGCAGGTCTAGGCTTTGAGTTAGAAAGGTGGGCTCTAGAGCAGAGGTTGGTAAACTATTTAGAGTCATAGATAAAGTATACTAGGATTTAAGGGCCATCTGTCTATCACAACTATTCCATTCTGCCCTTGTAATGGAAAAGCAGCCGTAGACAAACAAACAAAAACATAAATTGATGTAAACATGTTCCAATAAAACTTTATTTACAGAAACAAGCTGTAGGCCACAGTTGACCTGTAGACTAACCTTTGCTCTCAAGGGTTATGTGCTTATCGACTATGCCAAAATACATTTGGGAGTAGTGATGATATTTAAAAATGAATCTGACTGGTCTATATTATTATGGTTATGATCTATTCAAGAAGCTCTGGTTGCACAATGGTTAAGCACTCAGCTGCTAACTGAAGGATCAGCCGTTCCAGTGCACCAGTGGCTTCATGGGAGAAAAGACCCAAAGATCTGCTCCCATAAAGGTCGTTGTTGTTGTTGTTGTCAGGTGCCATCGAGTTGATTCCTACTGATAGCGACCCTGTGTACAACAGAATGAGACACTGCCTGGTCCTGCACCATTCATAAAGATTACATCCTAGTAAACTCTATGAGGCAGATCTTTTCTGTCCTATAGGGTTGCTTTGAGTTGGAATCGACTCTAGGGCACACAACAACAATGATCTATTTAGTTGAGATCATCAATCAAGATTAGTTTATATAGTAAGTTAGTCTCTGTTTTAATTAGGTACTTACTTGTGCCAGAAAATCACACATGGAAGTTTACTTTCTTCAATCTAAATTCAGAAGAGAAGACCTTATAGGTACAAAGCTCCATCTGTAGAATAATAAGAGAGTACTAAAGAAGAGAAGTACTTTAGAAGGTCAATCAGAACTTTGAAATTTCCCTAGCAAAAATTGTAGATTGAGCTGTTCAGCAAATTTCAGAGGGCAGGATGACATAAGACTACATATGTAGTATTCTGTTATTTTTTTTCACATTTAACACAAAATATCTTGCCAGGGATTCTATCAAAGACCTATATGTATTCTCTCTCTCTCTCAGCATAATGTCTTCAGTAATAAGAATGATTTTGGTTTTTAAGTGACCTTCCTATGAAAGTTGATGCAAGCATATGCTCTTTGACTTTTTTATTTTTGGATGGATTGCTATATATTTCTACCCAGTTTCTCTTCTAAGCTCTTCTGTAAGTTTTACAGGAACTCAGACTCTAACTTAATAATTTACTTGTGTGTAATATTAATCATTTTATATAAGTCTACTCTTAGCTTAACTTATTATTGGTTATTGTGCAGTAATCAACTGGTATAAACCAGTTGCTCTGATTGGTTGGTGCCTGTGCCTTACAAGTTGCTAAATATTTTAAGTATCATGCCTTGTTACATATCTATCAACATCTATCAAAGAGACATTGAGTCCAGTAACTAAATAATACTTCCTTCTGTAGTTTTCTAAAACTTCTCACACTCTCAGTAGTTACATATCCTGTCTCATATAGTAAAGTTTAAAACTGAAACTTTTTTCAGTAATGTCACAATTAATCTCTTTGATCTCAGTTACGGGTATAAATTTGTGAAGGCAATTCTGCTTAAATTCTAAATGAAGTAAAAGTTATAAAGAAAATTGACAATGAGTAGAGAAACATTATAGGTTAATATGTAAAACTGATAGAAAAAAGAGATCATGCCCAGCTCAGACTGGCGCCAAAGCAGAAATTCACAAGAATGCTAATAATCTCTGCTGGAGGCTCTGCACAGCCATTTTTGTCATATTTCCATGGAAACAGACTGGCAAAAGGGGGTTAAGAGGCTACAAAATAATCACCTAAGAAAGAAGCTCTTAAAACCTCATCATGATTTTGAATGATTATTTGAAAGCTCCTAACCCCATCTTTTTTTTTTTTTTTTCCTCATCTGAAGTCTATCCCCATGGAAACAAGACTGGGGATGGCAGCTTGAAGTCTTAGATTTCCTCCGAATTTTAAATGAGGCTCTGATTGAGCCATGAAAGGAGTCATTTTCCTAGATGGTTGATGGATTTGGGAACCAACAGACTCTAAGGAGTCTCTTCTTTTTAGAAATTAAAAAAACAGTAGGGAAAATATTTTGACTGTTCCTCTCTTACCTGTGGATGAATGCTAGAACATTAACAGATTGATGGACTGCTATCTGCACAGTTTCAATAAATAACAGACAGAAACACTTCCTACCATTTTGGTGACTTCTTTCAAAACATTAGAATGATAACATCAAAATGATTAGAACTTAATTTAACTGGTAAAATAAATGGGGAATTCACTATTTTAAGTAGTCTGGTATAATTTTAACGCAGACATCATACCTATATTCTCAGCTCATCTGTTACATGTGTTAATTACTACAGCTGCTGCAATAACATAGAAAAGCACAACATAAGGGTTTGTATAAGCAAAATTATTTCTAATTTGGATCCAAGGATTGAGTCAAAACTGCAAATATTCCCAAGTAAGTTAAAAATAGTATGTTTGACATACATCCTAGTTTGGATTCTTCCAGAAGCAGCAGCAGACCCTGAAACAAGGATTTGACTGAATTAGTTTATTTTATAGGTGAAGGAAACATTAGTAGGGGAATATGAAAATAAGACAGGCAGGCTAGGTATCACCATGAGTGACTGGAGCATCTTTCCACTGAAGAGACTTTGGCAGCCAATGTAGGACATACACCTCAGAGTTATTCTTCTCAAGGAGAGAGGGAGCTGAGGCCCTTACACCAGATACTGCTGGTCATTGGTTGAGGGCTCCTGGGCTCAGGAGAATATGATAGGAGGGCTGTCTTGCCAGCTAAGGATGGCAGAGCAGGCTTTAGAAAGCAATTGGGCAAAGGAAGGCAACTGGAAGTCGTCTAGTACAGCGCTATGGTAGATCTTCCAAGGATAAACTTTCAAATGAAATAAGATATTCTGCTGCATGACTCTTGCAAACTCTAGTGTATGTAGCTACATATTAATACATGACTCTTTTGCAAACTAGTGTATGTGTATAATTATACGCGTGTGTGTATGTGTTTTATACCATCTTATAGGGGGAAATAAAGCTTGCAAAGGCCATGGAAACTACATAATGTTGTTAAACATTAGATCCATGTTCTTCCCCGATGCAATAAATATTATTAGATTTATCAGATGTAGCTACTCTCTACTGGCTATTATAATATATGACATAAATCCAGCAACTTCATACTCAAGATCTCATCACTACATCACACACTTCTATTGATACCCAAGGACAAAGCAGAAGGCTTTCAGAATTTCTTAGTTTTAACTATAGGCAAAAGATAAATAAGGAGCAGTTTGTATTCTATTAAATGCTACATTAAAAGCAATAGAAGAGGAGTTTGGACACAGGGCTGTTACTAAGTTCACCTGACTATGTCTAATGGATTCATAATGACAATAATAACACACTGCTGGTGAATAACCAGTACATTCTTCATTCCCACACTGAGAAACATTAAGAAAATGACTCCAAACTTCCACCTTCATAAGAATGTCTGCATTTACACAAGCTCCTAGTTCTTGTTTCAAATCACCTCATTTCATTAGGAAAACGTCGTGTTTTTTTTTTTTTTAAATCCATCAAATGGTGCAGAACATATACCTTAAAATGATGTTATTGAGCAGGATTCCAGGAACTGAGGATTAGGGACTGTTAATATAAGACAGCCTCTTTAGTTTGTCTGGGTTCCCACCACTATCATATTTAAACCCATCATCAAATGACATCATATTTGCCTCGGAAGGACATATATTTTGAAATATTCTGCCTAAATTATTGGTTTTCTTAAAAAAATAAATTAAGCCTAGAATGAAGGAAGTTCTTTAATTATCTTAAATTCCAGTGACTGGTCATTAATGCTTACTTAGTGCTTACCTGGATCCTCTTGGATTCAATTTCAGCTTCCCCAT